TTATACATAATGTATTATGCAATAACAAGTTGCACATTTGCTGGCTCTAACAGAAGCAGTATAATATGATCTAGGGATTGTGTTAATTAATGTGGCTCTCATCTGTTGGAGGTGTCGCTCTTCATTAGCCCGTATTTGAGACACTGCCTTGTTTCATTTTTTGAATGAGGTGGAGAGGGGATAACCTAGCCAGCCATCCCTGTTTGATCTCCCAGATACATACTCAATGCAGAATGCCTGAGCTCTCTTGGTTCCCTGCCCTGTCCTGCTAATCCCAGCTGAGCTCATTATGGTGTAGCCTTGCTGCTGCTCTTGAAGCCAGAGCTGTCCAAGCTAATTACTGGTAGCAGCAGAACTGCCTGTTAAGGGTCTGGTGTGGATCTGCTAACATGGTCCTTGGTAGTGACCTGCAAAAGACACGAGGGAATTTCTTTCTTTCTTGCTGTGCACTGCCTGTCCTTTGGGCTTAATGCTGATCCCTCCACATAGGTCTTTTAGCTGCCCCAAGTATAAGACTTGATGAAGGATACTCCTATTTTAGAAAACATACAGTTTGCTTGCTTGATCTTATAATTCTCTGACTATTATATTCAGCTTGGCAAAGAAATAACATTTTTTTTGAGACAAAGAAGAGTTAGACCAATATAATTAGCCTCTTTTTTTATTTAAGTACTTTTTCATTTGATTTTGACACTTAGACCATACAGGCTTTTAAAAAACCTGCATGACTTTCAGATTGCTAAAATCTAGCCTCATGTGGCATATTATAATTAAATGTTACTGAATTATCTTAGTTATAAATGAGAAGCTTGTTTTATATACTATATAATAATGTTTAACTTTTTAACTTCCTTTTCCACATAATGATAAACTTTTGAGGAAAGGCCATATCATATTTAAATATATGCTATATATGCCCATTAAAATACAATCATTGATGCTAATAATGAATTCTCTTATATCAAAACTATAGAAATTTGTCATGGAAACATTTCCTGATAATTTTAAATATCTTTATTGAAATATAATTCAAGAGCCATATACTTTAGTCATAAAAATGCCTTTTAATATATTCAAAGAGTTGTGCACCATTTATCATTACAGTTAATTTTAGAACATTTTAGTCTCCTCTCCAAAAAACTCATACGGATTAGCTATTACATCCCTAATCTGCCCATTCATCCTTTCCAAATCTAGGCAACTATTTGCTAATCTACTTTCTGTGCCTATAGATTTGCCTGTTGTGAGCATTTTATACAAATGGGATCGTGTATAATGCTTTATGATTAGCTTCTTTTATTGAATATAATATTTGCAAAGGTTTTATTTATCCATGTTGTAGCATGCATCACAACTTTGATAATCTATAATAACTTTCTGTCTCCAAAAGAGGAAGTTAATTTTGGATGAAGTGAATTAACTAGTTTTTATATCTAAAGTATTAAAGAAAATTCAGGCAGAGATTAGCTGTAAGTGATGCTGTTAGCAGTTTGTTTTATTCATTAATGAAATAGAGCTAAATAAAAAGCAATATAGGTCTTTCAAAGAAAGTTAAATTCTGAGAATCCTGACCTATTCACTCAACAGTATTTGTACATTACAAATAGCTCTTTGAATATAATGCTTTGTCATTAATAAACTGTGGAGATTTTCCTCTGGAATCGGTTTAAATTCATTAATGTGATAACCATTTGTATAATAATTATTTTTCAGATCAGTTTTAACCTAATAGGTAATGAATGTTTTTCATAAAGAACTCTGTAGCATTGAACACACTGTAAATCATGTAGTACAAGTTTCTTGGGGAAGGGTTGGTTATTTTGTGAAACATTGATTCAGTTAACAAATGTGTTTGAATCACTGCTATGTGTCAAGCATTCTACTTGGTGGCTGAAAGGAGAAGTGCAGACAGATCTCTCACGTTGCGACACCTATTCACTGTTTAACATCATTAATGAAATATGATATCCCAAATAAAGCTAATATCAAAAGTAATGAGAAATTAGAGTTATTCATAGGAAAATGGATACATATTGAGGATGTACTCCTAAGTGAAATAGTCACACATGTGTAAATACCGAATAGTTTATCTGGTGTGAAAAACTATATTGGTACATGAGATATGAGATCCTAATGATATAATTGACATTGTGAAATAGGAAGAAAAGGGCTAAAGGGGAAATGGCAATGGTACGGGAAAGGTAATAAGGGAAAAAAAAACATGAGAAAATGAAAATTTGGAAATAAAGTATCTGTAAATAGGGAAGGGAGGAGGGGGTGAAGGGAGGGCAGAGACAAGGGGAAAAATGAGAACCAAGACCTGTCATGTAAAGGTACAAGATCCCAATGATGAATGTAACTGTACTGCATACCTAAAATGTTCCAGTAAACTCAATGAGGAAAAAAATATGATCAAACAAGACTTACAAAAATTAGTCTTTATTCATTTAAATTTCTTTAGTGATGTGGATAGACATTTTTTGTTTTGTTTTTAAAAATTTCTTTGCAGCATACTGTTTACTGTGCATTTTTTTTCTTTTATTGAGTTTATTGGTACATTTTAGGTATACAGTACAATTATGTTCATTATTGGGAACTTGTATCTTTACATGACAGGTCTTGGTTCTCATTTTTTCCCCTTGTCCGTGCCCTCCCTTCACCCCCTTACTGTGCAATTTTTTAAGTGACAGTACATGTATAGATTTGAATAACTACCGCCATAGTCAGGATACAAAAGTAGTTCCATCTGAAAAAATTTTCCTTGTTCTGCTCTTTTGTAGTCCAGTCCTCTCACCACTTCTGTACTTGGAAAACATTAACTTGTTCTCCCTCTCTGTGGATTTGCCTTTTGCATATGTGCAAAATCATACAGACTGTAACTGTTTGAGGGCTGGATGTTTTCACTCAGTGCCTTTAAAATTCATTCAGAGTCGGTCATCTAGTTTGTTCTTCTTTATTTTAAAATGGTGTTCCATTATTGGGTATACCACAGTTTAGCTACTGAAGAACATTGGGATCTTTTCTAGCTTTTTGCAGTTATCAGTAAACTGCTATCATAGGTTTTGTGTCAGCACAAATTTTTGATTCTGTAAAGTAAACATCCAGGAGTTGCGTTGCTGGATCATAGGAGATATATATATCACTGTAAGAAATTGTGGGAATGTTTTCCAAGGTAGCAAGCCTGTTTTCATTCCCACTGTGAATTCGTGAGAGTGCAGTTGCTCAATATCCCTGTCAACTCACGGTGTTGTCAGTACTTTTAAAAAATTATTCCAATAGGTGTGTATTGGTATTCATTATTATTTTAATTTCCATGTCAATAATGGCTAATGGTATTGATTGTACTTTTATGTGCTTATTTTTTATCTTTATATCTTCTTTCATGAAAGCATTTTAAATCTACTTCCTATGTTTAAAATGTTGATTATAAAACAACTTAAAATTATTTTTCTCTATTTTTTTCTTGGTATTGGGCATTGAACTCGGGTCCTTGCACTTAGTTTCTCTTATTGTTGAGTTTTGAGTTATTTATAAGTTGAAGCTGGGTAATGACATGCCTGTGTACCTGACTGTTCTGGAGGCTGAGGCAGGATGATTTCAAGTACAAGGACACTTGGTCAACTTAATGAGACTCTTGTCTCAAAATAAAAATAGAAACTATGCTAGAGATATAGCTTAGTTATAGAGTGGCCTTGGTTTAATCCCCAGTAGCAGGAGAGGGGAACAAAAGAAGAGCTCTTTAAAATTGAGATTTTTCTGGTTCTTGGTTGGTGATTTAGCTTTTAAATTGTCTTCTGGTCCTTGGACTGTTGTTTGGAGACTCTGGATCTTAGTGAAATCTTTATGTATCTGAAGGTTAGATTTTTTAAATTTGTAATAAGAGTAGCTTCTGGATTTTCAGGAGGGTTTCCAAGTGTGTGGCCACATGGCCCCTCAATCCAGAGATAATTATAGATAAGCAGACCACAGGAATTGTTTAGTGGCCACCTATCATAGGTGGCTCTGTGGATTTAAAATCACCAGTTGGAAATCAGGCTCTTTAACCCAGTTCAACATGTAGGGTTTAAAGGAAACTGGAATTTTAGAGGGGAAAAAGATGGCTATTTTGCATTTTAAATTCCTTACAATTCAGAAGCTTATTTTAACACACCTCTAATGATACTATTCCTGAGGTAGAGGGTCACCTGTTACTCTAGGAAGAGCTAGGAGTCTAACTTGTGAACTTTGCCTCTACTGATACTGTGTTGAAGGGATTATGCAGGGCTACTGGTTGCTGGAGGCGAAGTCTAGGCTCCTTACTCTGCTTTCCTCCACAGAGATTTTTGCTTTGTTTCATTTCTTGTCCAGTGTTGTATGTGTGTGTATGAGATTTCTGTCCTGCTTGTCCGCTCTTGTTCTGGTTGTTGACTAGAGAAAGCTGGTGCTCCCTGAGGTTATTTTTTTAAGTTCTGTGTCTGTTACCATCTCTGGGTTGTTGGTTTCTCTATTACCTAGTTTGGGGTATATAGGAAAAAGGACAACCCGAGGAACTCACTGCTCTGAGTTACACCCCTGGTGGTATACCTCTACTGCTGAGGTTCTGTTCTGTCTCCTTCTTTCCACCTTAGAGAATCTTGCTTGCTTTTATGTATTATTTTTTAGGATTTTCCTAGTTAATTATTTAATGACTAGCTTTTATTAGTACTGGGCATTTTTCTTAGTGTATATTTTATTTTATGTAGTATTTTTGAGACAGGATTTTATTATGTTTCCCAGGCTGAACTCAAGTGATTTCTGATGCCTCAA